AAAAGAGGTAGGGGGGGAAGGGGTGGACACCAAAAGGGTATAAGTGGTGCGAGCAGGGGTGAGATAGGGATCATGTCATACCTCTCGTGAAATGTTCCAAATAATGCTTTTTATCAGATGTGATAGTGTCGTTCCATTCGTTGGTGAGTCCAAACGAGACTGGGTTCACTCCTTGCTGAGCAATAGCACGCTGATGAAGCGCTCCGATTGCCCTTTGATGTTCGTCCAGATCTTCAGGAGAGACTCTCTTGCGGACTTTCCTGTCCGGGAAATTTCGTTCCCGCAGGTTGGTTTGCAAGGCATGTCCCGCTACATAAACTGCAGGTTGCTGGAATAAAACTCGCTCTGCAAATCTGTGGAGATGCACTGTCCACTCAGCAAACATATGGCTGTGTGACAATTGATTCCTGAGTCGCGCTTCTGTTTGATGAAGGCTTCCATTGGTATGCCACAATCGCAACAGACTGTAGTTGGAAGGCCAATCAAGTGGGCACAGTGTGGCTGTTTCTTTCCACTTTTCAGGTGTAAGCCCTACTTGAGAGGGTATGATCACTTCCAGAGTAGTGCGATTCGGTCCCAACGGTTGAAGACCTCGCATCATATATGGTTCAACGAGCCCTGTGGTATATCCATGGATGAGCTCCTGGAAACATCCAGCCATTTGAAAGTTCCAAGGCGAAAACCAGGCATGTTTTTGGCACCAAATTTAACTGCCTGGAGTAGCTGCTTCGTTCCCTCCACTGGAGTCTCGTCACAGGAACGTTTCGGGCACGTAATTTTTTTTTCCTCCGGTTTGGCCGATTCGCACTAGGCACGGTCCTTACAATTAAGTAAGCGGTGAAATGCATTCTGAAATAGGACACGTGTGGTCCCAAAAAAAGCTGGCAATTAATCACATCAACACAAACCAAACAACAAACCAAAAAAAAGCAACCAAAAACGACCCGCAAATCCCCCAGCCAGATTTGCGTTTCGCTAAAAAGCAAAACAGCGAAGCAACAAAGAACGGGGCCGGGCCCAAACAAAAAACCAAACCAAACATTCAGAACGTTTCGGGCACGTAATGTTGATTTCTTGTGATTTCTGCGCATTCTCAGGAGCATTCTCGAGAAGTTTGGGAGCAATTTTGCTGGCCCAGCTAGCCGGGAACCATGCCAGTAGGGCAGAGGCACCACTCGTAAGGTCCACTAACCCAGTAGTGCGTCGATGAGGCCGATCTGTGACCAGGACTTTAACTGGGCCACTCGGCGCTGGACTTCGATTTACCTCAGAGCTCTCTCGGGCCGAGCCAATGAGTTCAGACAGGATGGGTCGAAACCAGTAAGTGGCATACAACAGGCATTCAGTTTCTGGAGTCACCATGGATTCAGCCAATCTCATCAGCAAGCTCATCGCCTGGGCGAGCTTCTCTGCCAGTCGTATTGTGAGAGCTCTTGACTTTTCTTGGATGGCAGTCAAAGACAACGTCAATCTCGCCTGTAGCCACAGCGGCGGAGAATCCCAAGTTTTCGGGTATGAAAAAAGGGTTTCCGTTAGGTTGGACATTAGTAATCAGAATTGCGAGCTGGTCATGCACTCGCAATCTCCGTTCACGGTTCGTTAGGGACGGGGCCTTCAGCAACTCCCCTGCGCTATACCACAGTTTAACGTCTTCCCCAACCCTCACAGGTCCACCTCCCCCCTCTTACAGACATGCCTCTTGGCGGGGCGCAACCTCCGCCCGGGCTATCTGCAGTGGTGGAGTCTTGCGGGGGATATTATACACTACGATACTGAATCCAGATGGTGAGTGCTGAGCCAAACACAAACAATCAAGAGGAAAGGAAGGGACGATGCTGGAAATCCTGGACCAGTCTACGGCGAGAAAGACCAGGCACCAAACCCAAGGGAACACAACAACCGAAAACAACAAATGAAAAGGAAGATCCCAGGCAAACAGAAGCAGCTAGCAAAGTTGGACAAGCCAATAGCCCCGGAGGCGCAGCCTCTACTGATGGCGAGAGCGACCAGAAGACCCTACAGTTGCGTGGTGCCCACCCATACCTGATGCAGCTGAAGATCCCTCTGAGGACGACACGGTACCTTCGCACCCCCTAGTCGGCGTGTGTTGACATGTTGGGTTGCTTCTCATGTCACACCCTCATTTGTGTTTGCGCACATCCTTGGGTGATCGTGCGGTATCTCGGGTTCTCCTGGACCGATTGGTACACACGTGGTACGGGACTGACGGGTCTCACCTTACCTTGTGTCTAGGGTAGCAACACCCCTGTCCTATACATTACTGCTTTTCACCGCTTACGCAATTGTAAGGACCGTGCCTAGTGCGAATCGGCCAAATCGGAGGAAAAAAAAGTCTAGGGTAGCAACACCCTATGATGACACGGGGGAACCGGCAAGGTTGGTGAATCTCTTAGAGACTTGGGGACTCGTCTCGAGGAGGGGTCAACGGGGCAACCCGTTGGCTAACGCTCAAAATTCATCATGGGTAGCCAAGCTTACGGTGGACAAGACCGTCGGTTATGTACAGTCTGGCCACAGTGAGGACCTAATCCAAGGTTCGAGCTGTGCTCCATTGGGACTGGGGTCACTGAAAAGGTGACTTAGTTCGACCACTCCTTTCTTTGGTCGTTCTTCTCCTGTACGAGCAGGAGTCCGGGAACCAATGGGGGCATCGTGTGATGGTTTCCCCTTCGGTGATGGTGGTGAACACCTTGTGTGGTGGTGGGTGCCCGTGTTCCACGTCCCTTGAGTGGTGATCATCTTGGGTGAAATGAATGGGTTCCTTTTTGGTTCCCACGTCACTCGGTGAGTGGATCCACTTGGGAAATGAATGGTCGCGGTTGCTTACCACCCGGTGTGTGGATCCACCTACCGTTGGGTGACCTGGGTCCCATGGTGTGGAAAGGTGTGCGCCGCCGGCTGCGCCTGGTGCTTGCGTGGGGCCATGCTTCTGCGTGGTTTTCGCCTTTTTGGCGTGGCCCTGCACCGGGAGGCCAAAGCACACAAGCGGAACGTGAAGACTGCTATGGGAGAGCCACTGTCGCGCTCACGAGAGCCATTGAACATACATACATTGTCTTGTCTCTCGACATGGCAGGCATGATTGGGATGGCACAGACACGGTGGCTTCTGGCTGCATCTTGCCCTCTACTTACTTGAATTCGGTCGGTACGGTTGTGCTGGGTTTTTTGTCTGGCTTCTTCCTCGGGGTGGGCCTCTCTCTTTCTGGTGCGTTTCTGTTGTTTTTTCCGAGAGGGACGGTAGATATCCGGTTAGAGCCATGGACTGGGCTGCACTGCAGCGAGCTTTATTGGCGCTGTCCAGTGGAGCTCTCTGCAGTTCAGTCTCGAGCGCCCGCGAGCAGCAAAGTCTGCCAACATGGTTCGGTGCGTTGATGGGACGTAGTGATTCTGCTAATGGCCCACTCTAGGGGAGAGTGGCCCTATGTGAGATGCACTGCGAACCTCTGGAACATCTGACTTGCTGCAGGTTTTTGCTGGGACGATGACACCTTGTGAATCCTGCTACTCAATCTGGTGCTGGTACAGCGAACCTAGTCACCCTTTCAAGTTTGTGGCTTGAGCACGACTGCCATGCGAGAGCGGCGCAATTGTGTACAGGTCGCTAGTAGCAATCTTTCTTTGCTTGAGCCTACCCTCTGCACGAGTATATCTTATTCATCTGCAATGACCTTACGGAGAGAATCAGTTTTTTGCGGAAATCGTGTACCATTGGCACCTTTCCAGGTCCTCTTGGTTTCCTACGGTATGACGGCATCTGTGATGAGTTACAGTTATAGTCTTGCATGACCTACAGGCTGTCAATACCTACCCCCCCTTGAGGGGGGTATTGAGTCACATCGCTATTGCGGCAGTATCTTACTCCAGAGACAGGGTTCCAACTACGCTGACCATCACAGGACCAACATTGACAATGAGAATGGCAATGGGCACCAGCTGTGCTATACAGCTACTTCTGCTTTGCCAAATTTTCTGAGAGCTTGCGTGACAGTCAAGGTGGTTTCTGGATGCTGACAGTTCTCGCACGTGGATGACGTTAGATGAAAAGTTATTTCCCTTGAATGGGGTTCCCAAAATGAATGGGGTTCCCAACTCTTAGGCTGTGCTCCACTACCACATATGCGTGGAAAAACCACCAATCACCATGCAGCTCTTCTGCATTTCACCACTGGGGTCATTTAGGGCACATCATGTTCACAGACTGTCATCAGGCTCCACAAAGGCTACCGAATACGCATGGAAAAACCATCAATCACCAGCTGTTCTGAATCAGACTCAGGTCAAGTGGTGCATGTACAGCTCATTGTCACCAGGGACATGATGCATTCATTAACCATTAATCATTGCCCTGTGGATGATGGTAACACAGTCATCATAGCCACTGAATCGGTATTTTAGATTGAATATGATTGAATTAATTTGCAGCATTCAATATTTTTTATGCACTATTTGGGTATGCAAGAACGAGTGCTGTCACACTTGGTTTGCAAGGTATCCCACACCATATTTTTCCCGGGCTGTGCAGTTTCAACTCGTTGGTGGTTTCTTTGGACCAAAGTTAGTATTCAGATTGTTTTTTTTGACTGCTCGGTAGCGTTTTGATTGGAACCACTGGTGCAGCTGGCGGTTGGGGTACAGGTTGAATCGGGCGGACCCTCTAATTATTTATTCCATTTGTGTGGGCTAGGTTAAGTTTGGTATTATTATAATTGAAATTACAGGTCATTTTTCCCAGAAATAGTTTTGTCTGGGATTGAGACATAGCCCATCAGCATGTCGGCCAGCTTCATGGCTCAGGACACAATGTGTTTTTAGTTTTGTTTCTATTTGTAAATATATGCATAATTTTGTGAATTTTCATATGTGATTGTTGGCCATGGATTGAAATTTTGGTTAAATTGAAATGGACATTTACATTGTAAACGGCCATTTGTAGCAACAAATTTTCATTGTTTTTCAAACTTTAGGGTGCGTGCGTACATGGCTAAGTCACTGGACCCTGCACCTCTCTCGCCTGTAGTGGGGCCAAGTGATGATGAACGCGATAGCGACCTTGATTTGGGCGCCGCGCTTGGGGACGGTGCGAAGCGTGTTGCGCCAAAAAAAGGGAAGGTTCCAGCTCTGGATGATCCAATTCACCTACGGGCTGTGCTGGGGAAACGTTGTTCATGCAAGAAGCGTGATTGTTTCGGGCAGTTTTCTGGGCCAAAAGAGTTTGCAGAGTTCCATCAGTATCGAGCTGACTTCAAGAGTTTGCACAAGTTGGACCAAGACAGAGTGGATACTTGTCACAAACCAAAGGTTGAGTCACTTCAATTGCCCGAAGAACTATTGGGTGTTGATTTTGTTTTTTCAAAAGAAATGGGGCATTTTGTGTTTTGAAACCGTCCATCACATGAACAAGGTTTTCGATCGTATCCGCACTCAACTGGAGTCAGACTCAAGCTGGACATTCCTGGATCGAGAAGTGTGCTTGAAGAGCTGGAAAAGCTTGTCTGGCATTGGTGCCTGGATTTCATACTTTCCTAATTATTTTTTGGGTTTATTTTGGTTTATGTCGCTGGAAAGTGGAAATGGCACCTGGAGTCAATTAGTCAATTCTTGTTGCCCAGTTTTCTCAGCATTATTTTCTTTTTCAGGTTGTCCACGGCCTAGCCTTGACATCACTTCCATTTTGATTCACACCCTGACCGCCTGACCGCCCAGGTTCTAGGAGATTCAACCGGATGAAAAAGGCTATCAGTGACGGGCAGTCCACCCCTCCTGCAGATATTCGCTACATGAAGAAGCCACAGTCAGACAGCGCCCCAGCAAATAACCAGAATCCGGCGTATGAGGGTTTGAGTACATTTGATGGGGAAAGGATTCCATGAAACTAATTGAATGAAAAGCTGTTTTTGTTTTTGGTTCGCCAGGAAATTCTCTGGAGAAAGTGTCTTCCGTGGTTTCCTACCTCACGGAAATCTACCAGAGTGTTGCAGAAACTTTGCCTGACTTTAGGGATGACACTTGGGATGTCCAAACATCTTTGGAGTTGGGAGATGCTCTGGACAAGGATGACTATGCAGACCTTATGCTGGATCAGCAAGGCGATGAACCAGGTCCAGGTGGCAAGGACTCTGCTGCGGGGTCAAGCCAAAAGAAATGCAAAGGGAAGGGAAGCAAGACTAGAAAGATGAAACGATCAGTAATGGTAAATCTAGACAGGAAACCTGAAAGTGGTGGGTTGTACGAAGATAGGTGGTTGCCGCCTGGGCAAATCAAAGACCATTGGGAGTTATACAAGAAGCGTCAGCGGGGTTTCCAGTGTGCATCATTTACCACGTTTTGGCGAGTAACTTAGATCTCGTCTCAGAGTGTTTGTTTCTTGATTACTGTAACGCAAACTTTTTGATGATTTGGTTCAAGTACTTTGGAGTCCAAGTTGACGAGTTTTTTTTCCAAAACCCCCGCCAGTACCCGTAAGGTATGGTTGCGGGAGTTCCCCATGCTGAAAATACGTTCTGTGCGACAGCACCCGGAATGTGGAGTATGCATGAAGCATAAGTGCTTATTAAGAAGTTTGTCAGCACACATCAATGCACGCCAAAAACAACAAGAAGAATATCACCGACATTTGCACTCACAGTACCTTGACCGGCTGGAGTACTGGTCCCACAGAGGAAGATCGCGGACAGGAGGGCATGGATCAGGCCAAATTCGCGTTTCCAAGACACAAGGTTCTCAAGTCGAAAGACTTCAGCACGTTCCAAAGACCCCGTGCGCATGTTGTTGGGTGCCTCATGCACGGACGAGGGTTGCTCTTTTTTGTCACAAACCCCGATCTCCCCAAGGATTCAAGCACCCACATAGAAATCGTTGCTCACGCCCTAAGCTGGTTAGAATCTTGTGGGGAGTCTTTGCGCGACCTCTCGGTGACGCTTCAATGCGACAACACGGTGCGCGAGTGCAAGAATTCCGTGATGTTATCATTCCTTGCCAGTTTGACTATGAAGGGCACCTTTCAAAAACTACGGAAGTATTTACAATTTTCTTCTTTCCCCTGGCTTGTTGGTTTCAAGTTTGAAAATGGTATTTTTTTGGGTAGGAAATTGTTTTGAGAAATTTGGTCCTTCAGAGGCATCGTGCGTGACTGTGGCCTGACCAATCTCAGGTCAGGTCACAGCCACGAGGATATAGATCAGATCTTTTGGGAGACTTTCCAGGTTTCCATCATGGTCACGGATGCCAAACGCCCCAGGACTTTTGCAATGTAATCAACCGCTTTTTGACAGAAGCAGAGTTTCCCTTCGAGCCAGTCTCCCGACGGCGTTGCATCATGATCGACCAGACACGCGATTGGACGACTGGCTGCAAGTTATGATTGTTGCCAGCAAAATAAAAGCTCATTGTTTTATGCCAAGAAAGTCTGGTTCATGGTGCCCTGACAATTATTTATATATATATATATATGTACATACATAAAATATCATATACTGCATAAATATATATATATATATATATACACATGTATATATGTAATATATATATATATCATACACACACATATATATATAATGTTTCGAGATTGGGGCTCATTGAACTCTTTACCCAATGTGATTTGTGTCCTGGTTAAAGCTGAGGAACTCATTTCTTGCACAGTCCATTCCGGTTCATTTGCGTGGCATAGGGGGGCCTGGTGCCCCGCATGCGTTCAAATTGCAGAGGCGATGCAATGCAGGTTGGACTTAGAAACTTGAAGATAGGGGAATACAATGAAAAGATGAAAGGTGTCCATGTTTCAAGAACAAAATCAACAAACCATCAAAGCCTTTTCCAATTCATGTGGTCAAAACTGTCACCCTTCAGGCATTGATCGCGCAGACATCAAGGACCTCTTCTGGAAGCTCTGTGACTGGGAGGAAGGTGCTGACGACATTGTGTTGTCGATTCTTAGCTTGAGAGTACCTATCTGTTTTTGTCTATTTAGTGGTATCGTAGGGGCTGGGTTTGAAGGAATCAGGGGGAATGACATTTTTTTTTGATTCAGGGTTTAGGAATTTGATTGAGATCTTTGTAAAAAGGACAAAGAGATGGATGCACAGCCCAAAGTTCACTGAGCACATTCTCTACTACCCACAAAGAATTGCTGCAGACTATCTCCCTTCTGGTGTTCCTGCAGGTGAGGAATTTGTGCAAAACATAGGAAGTAAAAGTGCGCAAAGGTTTGCAGACTACAATGTTTTATTTCGCTTTAATTTCCAGTTTGAACATGTGGAATCTAGTGTGTGAAAGCCCTTCCAGTTGTCGCGGAGAAGAACCCCATTGCGCCCTCCTACAAGGATCACATTCTGAAGCATGCAGCCATGTTGAGGAATCCTTTGTTTCAGTTGAGCAAGGCTGCGGAATATTTGGAACAGTGGGTCCATGGTCTCTTGCCTCCAAACTCTCTGCTTGATGTTTCTGCGCCGGGTGGCTCAAGTTGGAAAAGTTTTTTCGTTTGTTGACCTGTTTCAAGGCAGAGGCCATCATGATTTGATTTTGATGGGATGATTTATTTTTGATGAGTTCAATCTGATTATCATTGTTTGCTATAGAAAATCTTTGCAACTCGAGGTGCGTGGCCCCTGCCACACACAGAAGGGATCCTCAGTCTGGCTTGGCCCCTGCTGCTGAAACTTTCGAAGCAAGACCAAACCGCCTTTTGCTGCTTGTCCCCTAGATGTCAGTGTTTGTTCAACGAATATTTTTTGAATGCCCCATCACTGTGTCCGCCTTACTCCAGTTCTTGTTGAATTCACCACCAACGTTTTCTGAGCATCCCAGTGTCCACCTGATTTGTTTTGTGGCCAGCCCACAATTTGCCTTTCACTGCTGTTCCAAGCAAGGCTTGAGCGCAGGAAGGGTACTGCCAGGAAGGTTGCCGTGTACAAGACCAAGGCTGAATCACGTTTGATGCTTCAGATGGCTGCGAAGTCTTGGGCAAACGGGGTGCCCTGGGACGAAGCCCTTCGCATTGCTAAGCAAGTTTCGAGCCGGGTAGGTAAGATTCAGAAGAAACGTCTTGGGAGAGGAAGCTGAGATGTTTGTGCTACAGTGTGTGTGTGTGTTCAATTCAATGATAGTTCCATGTTTGCAAAGAGCTTGCTTTCAAAATATTTGCTTCCTGTCCAAGCCGTTGCCAAGAGCGCCGCAGATTCAGCTGGTTTCCAGCTAGCCTCCCAGGTCATTTACACAAATCCATCCAGTGGAATGTATTTCAAACATGCTGTTGTTGGGACCCTTCAGTGTCAATTGATCAGACTTCCTGGGTGGTGTTTTGCACCGAGCTTGCTGGTGGACCCTGGTGGACAGCAATTGCCATCCTGAAGGAGGTGGGGTGCGAGATTTTCACATCAGTATATTGCAAGCAACAGTTGCAAGTCATTACAAGCCTTCTGTTAATAAGAATGCTTGCAAGTCGCCCACGCTGGACAGGGCTTCTTTGTGTCATTCTGCTTTCCACTATGTGTAGAGGCACGCTGTGAATAGTTTGGAAGGAAAGATGTTTGTTTGTGGTTTGACTCACCGCAGTTTTGTTATTGTGCTGTGGCTGTAAGTTTTTTTCCCTCTACTTTCTGTTTGTGAGCTGGTGGTCACGTTGCTCGCAAGGCGGATGCCCCCGAAGAGTTTTCAGGCCAAGATTGCCAAGGTCGCGCCGGGTGGGTGTTGCTGAAAATGATTCAGCAGGCATTCAAATCTTGGCGAAAGTCAATGTGCAGTTGTGGATTGGGCAAATATGCGCATCAGTTCAAATAATTTACGCCAGGTGTTTGCAACTCAAGAGTTCGCAGGATTTTTTAGGTAGTTTTTTGTCTCGGATGGCGACCACAATGGCCCAATATTTGGATGGGGCCCTCGCGAAGGCAGAGACTGATAAGGCACGCTTGATCTTAGCAACAAAGATTAAGGTGATTGCGCAGCAAGTGCTTGAAGAGCTTGGGGAGCTCCAGCTTCCTTCGGCTGCCAGCTTTGGAGGGGACGTGCAGACATTGATTTGTTTATGCACCTTGTTCGAGATTGCTGATGGATTTCCTTCTGTTCATGCCCTGGGGTCTGGACACCCGCCAGCACCCAGGGAGCTAGATGATCAACAAGCTACTCAAGTGGCCACCGCCATTTACCAAGATGCCAAGGATGTTTTCTCCCAAAGCACGGGATGGGGTACCTTCAGGACTTACAAGTCTTTGGACGTTTTGACAGACAACCTGTTCATGCTCAACAGTGACCTCGGGTTGGAAGCTGCTGGAATCATTGGGTGTCAACTCCAGCATGCTTTGGCATCACGTGGGGATTTTACGGTCACGGTGGTGACCCGCACACAGTGGGGCCAACAGTGAGGTTCAGGGTGTCCAGCCCACTTGTCTGAACCAATTTCAATGTGCTAGGGTCAGCCAGTTTTTGAGACCTGTGGCATGAGCTGCCGCTTTGAACATCAAATCTGTGACATTAGCTGCCGCAAAAAAAAAGGTTTCAAGCAAAATTCTTAATGTTGACAGTGATTATTTGCCATATGGTTGCGTTCCTTTTCTGAAAGGAATGCGCGCACACGTGCAGTCGATGAGTCTAATTTTTGGATGCCTGGTCCCAAGTCACTCATCAATCTTTTGTTCAAAGTTCAAAGGGTGTCACACTGACCTCATCGCAGAGGGAAATCCTCGTGAAAACAAAAGGTTTGAATTTTTGGACCCTAGTTCACCCTACTTTTTTTTTCCTGACCCCCTTTGCCGCCGTGCAGGTTCGATCACTCTACTTTTGGATGCCTGGTCCCAAGTCATTCATAAATCTTTCGCTCAAAGGGTCTCACACTGACCTTATTGCAGATGGAAATCCTTGTGAAAACAAAAGGTCTGAATTTTTTGGACCCTAGTTCAGCTTAACTTTTTTGCCCGACCCCTTTGCCGCCAAACACGATTGCATTCCTTTCCTGAAAAGAATATGCGGACACGTGCAGGTTCAAAGATTCTACTCATGGTTGCCTGGTCCCAAGCAACTCACGTTTTTTTGACGTGCCGTACACTGATTTCAATTTCACAAGGAAATCGTTGTGACAACAAAAGTTTGAATTTTAGATGCCAGTCCAGTCTTTCATGTCGGACCTGAGCTCCTTTGCTGTCAAACTGCTCAAGGTTTGTGCAGGGAAAGGTTTGTGGGAAAGAAAGCGGGGTTAGGTTGCAGCACCATGGGATGCCTCCCGCCTGTAGTAGCCCCGCACAGGGCTGAGACGCTTCAAGTCTTCAAGTCAGATTTGTTCAAATTTCACCATGTTTTAGCAGTGTACTGAAGTTTCAACAGTTCTAGCAGTTTTAGCAACCATCGAAAGCAAAAAAATGTTGGAGGTCTGATGGCGAGTCTGACATTGAAGAGTTGCCGGTGCCTCCGCCAATCGAGCAGCCAGAGCCAAAACAAAAAAGTGGAAAGGCCAGAGCCATCCAGTGATTTCCAGTGGTATCCAGTGCCAAAATGTGCTGTTCCCAATGTCAGCACAAAAGTGGTGCACCAGGTGCCCAAAGCAAGAGCCCGAAAGATGGTCATCAAGAGATTGAAACCCACGACCAAGGCCAGGGCTTTGAATTTGAAGACACTGTCCTCATTTTTGAGCAAACAACAGCTTGATCTTTGAAGAGACCAGCTAACACTTTGAAGAAGGATTTCTGTTTGCGGACGGGTCAGACAAAAAATTGAACAAGGACTTTGATTTTTGTATAGACCAAACAAACTGAACAAGGACTTTTGTCTTTTTGAAGAGGCCCCACAAAATATTGAACACGCACTTTGACTATTGAAGAGTCCAAATTTGATCACATTCAGCTACTGCCCATGCCCAGTTGCCGCCGCACGGGCTGATTACAGCTTCTGGCGTTTTCCGCACAGCAAAAGTGCCTTTGAAGACAACGGAGGGTTTGAATCTGAAAGTTGCCCAGCACTCAGCTAGAGGTTTGTCGGCAGCCTGCAGAAACCACACATCATCTTCACACATGATTTCCAGATTGTACGCGAAGGATGACGGACGGATTTTTATGTTGAAATCGTGGGGGACATCCAATCACGTTTTATGATCCCTTTTATCAAAGTTTGGTGTCAAAATAATTCTCTGCGAATCAAAAGCCAAAAGACAAATACTTCTTGGGGGTAGGAACTACACTTTACCTCACATTAAAATGATCACAAAACACTCAGTGCAACCCACCGGCTGCAAGCCTAAGTCTACGAGGCCTGCAACGGGCGAAAGGGCAAGAAGGAGAATGGCGCTGCCAGATTCACTGGCAGCAAAACTTTTCGAGCTTGGTCCACCATCCGCCGTTGCCTCAATTTCTTTTGTAGCAGCTATTACGCTTTGTTGATGTGGATGTGTTTTGGTCTGTCAGGTTGCTTCAGCGCAACTACTTCAGTGTGCAAGGGCGACGTGAGCTGCAGAGGTATCTCTGCCTGGTCCCTAGGGGATTTCTTGCAGCTTGACCTTGATAAAAAGCTAACTTGTGTTTAAGGGCAACAGGTATATACCAGTCACCACATGGCGAAGTCTTCCAAGGACCTGGCCAACCAAATTGCTTTCTCTACTCGTTACCAAAACGAGATGAAACAGCTGGGTTTGAAGCCGGGGCAGTACCTAGCCCCTTCTGCGGGTGAGTGGTTTCAAGGCTGGGCAAGGTTCTGTGTTTCTTTCGGGGGCTTGTGAAAAAATTGTTTGCCGCCAGGATTGCCAGAAGGTTGGACCTCCGATGTTGAAGGTGCTGTCAACCCCCGAGCTTTGCCAGAGCAGTTTGGCGCTTGGGATTCTCAGGACTGCTTTTGAGCATTTCTCCAATTTGACTTCTGGACAAGTGTGATACACCTATACTCGAGTTGGATCCACAATGGGTGAAGGAAGCTGCCAAGATCCCCTGTGTTTCCCTTTTCTCGGGCGTCGGCGGTCTCGAAGCTGGAGCGAGTCCGTCTGACCCTCATTGGGGGTCAATTTTTTTCTCATTCTGGGTATGGCTCAAATAGGATAGCTTCTATTCATTGGCCCTTTCATTAAACTATTTGGACGCCTTGTTTGAGCCATGCCCTTCTGAAGATCCGATTTGCTTTGATTTGATGAGAGCTGTGTTTCAAGAAGCGAAGGTCTCAAACAGATTGGATTCTCTGAAGCCATTTCAAAATCAAGTGGCAGACAGGTTGCGCAACCTGAATAGTAAGACAGCTGCCCATCCTGCTTCAACCACCCGGTAACCAACCATCGGTGAACTCGTGTCAAATGGAGCAGTGGCAAACAGTACGAGTCGTTGGCATAAATCAAATCCGGTTTCTGTGCCGCATTAATTTTCTCGTCAGGGTTGTGTCGCCAACAGCAAGAAAACCATTGAAGTGATTCTTACACTTGGAAAAGGATTCTGGATCCTTTCATTTGGTCAGCTCTCATTTTTCTGAGGGTGCCAAAGGAAACAGCAGTGTGGTGTCGATGGCACGGCTCTTTGCAACCTGGACTGAAAGCGTTGCCTCCAATCTACTTGAGAGTCAGCTTCCAGATCTGATGGGTGTGTACGTCTTTAGTGAAAGAAACATATTTGGGTAACTCACACGACAATTTCTGTTTTCCAAACCTGTCAGATAAGGGTCCCTAGATTTCTGAACACCGCGTCGTGAATTGCATCTCAAACAAATGCTGGGTCTAACTTATGAAAGATTTTTGCGACTTGTGAGGATTTTTTTTGGGGACCAACCCACTTGGAAAATTTGAGTCAAATACCCATGGATGTTCCATACTGGCATTCAGCTCCAACTCGCAAAACTATCCTGCCTCATCGTTTTGAAGTTGCTCCCTTCTCATATGTTTAGTATATATAATATAAAAATGTTCGTCCCAGCATTCAGTGGTTTTTGGCTTGCCATTTCCCAAGGAGATAAAGGGATGCGACGTACTACCTGATGTCAAAATGGACAACATGTTTCACCCAAAAAGTTTGTTTTTAAGCGCCGTGCTTGTTGGGGCATGTTCCTTTCGCAAAACTCGGAACCTTCGCTGTTCGAAAATTCTTAAACAGTAGGTCCCCAAACAGGGTGAGTACAATTATCACTTTGGGTGTAACACGATTTCCTTTGAAAGGGGTCCTCGGGGTGAAAGGGGTCCGCGCGCGCACGCGCCCTTTCTCCCTGAGGACCCCTTTCAAGGGAAATCTTATTGTGTTTTTATGTTTTGTGGTTACGCGCATTGTGATAGCGGTTATAAAAAGAGCTTGTGCTTTCGCATTCTTTCTTCTATTAGTGCTTGAAGAGAAACAATTCCTTACTAACTGTAGGAGTTATCCAAAGAACTTACTGTAGTGCAGAATTGTTTTATATATATTATTCAATATTACTGGCCAGGTGTGATCTTTGGAATCCTTGGAAAACGGACATCAAAAGAAATTTCTTAACTGTACAATATCCAAGTGCCAAAAGGCCACGTCCAAGGCTCCAACCGGGTTAGCCCATGGACACGATAACTTTGACTTTCCACCCAAAGCGCCTGTCTCTTGCACCTGCCTATCACACAAACCCATTCATCGTGCCCACAAACCTATATAATAAGCATGGGGCTTTCTGAGGCCCGATAATTGTAAATCTTTTGGGCGGGCCTTTCCACAAAGGAAATTTGGTACTGCCAGTTTTCCACTTGTGTTCGCCCCGGGAAAACAGACCCCACCAAGTGTCAAGTTTCCTTAGGAAAAAGCTCTTTTTCGGGGGACTTGGTGGGGTCCGCTTTATACACTTTGAAGGGGCCAAGAAAAGTGACAAATTGCCAATCAAGACATAATCTAAAGATAGATAGATAGATAGATAGATAGCTAGATAGATAGACATAGATAGATAGATAGATAGATAGATAGATAGATAGATAGATAGACACATAGATAGATAGATAGATAGATAGGGATAGATAGGAATAGATAGGAATAGAAAAGAATAGATAGGAATAGATAGGAATAGATAGGAATAGATAGGAATAGATAGGAATAGAAAAGAATAGATAGGAATAGAAAAGAATAGATAGGAATAGATAGGAATAGAAAAGAATAGATAGGAATAGATAGGAATAGATAGGAATAGATAGGAATAGATAGGAATAGATAGGAATAGATAGGAATAGATAGGAATAGATACGAATAGATAGGAATAGATACGAATAGATAGGAATAGATAGGAATAGATAGGAATAGATGGGAATAGATAGGAATAGATAGGAATAGATAGGAATAGATAGGAATAGATAGGTAGATCGATAGATAGATAGATCGATAGCTAGATAGATTGATAGCTAGCTAGATAGATAGATAGATAGATAGAGATAGATAGATAGATAGAAAGATAGATAAATACATAGATCGAAAGGTAGATAGATAGATAGATAGATAGATTGGTAGGTAGATAGATAGATAGATAGAGAGATTATATATATATACCAACATACTAAAAGAAAGAGACACAGCGTAATAGTTATGCCCGCCGAGGTATCCAGTAATCGCGTTGCGGAAGAACAAAAAACAATCGCGCGTAGTTATGTCTATCTCCATTCGCATGTCATTTTTATCTTGGTGGGTTGGGATCGCTCGAAGCAAAGAACCAAAAGGGTATAACTTTTCATATGTGTGCAAATATTCTTGGTACAGATTCCGAAACCATTCAAACTGAATAGTGCTGTTTGCCTAGCCCAAGAAGATTTCTTACAGTCAAAAGCAGGTGGCAATGGCGCAGCAACCAATGGATTGAAGTGGCTTCTGGTCCAACGCCTTCGCGGGAATCCCAATCTGAGCCCAACCAGGAGATTTGATTTTTCACGTGGATACGGATGTCCCACTTAGTTCATGCTTCTACTTCTGAAAGTTGACTGCCGCACGGTGCCCTCAGAGATCGTCAGGATCTTTCAGCTCGACCTGTTGACCAGCAGTGGTTGTCAAGCAAGCGACGCAAGTGAACAAGTAAAATGTGTGCTCACGCTCTTGCAGTGGTCCGCTGAATGATGTTCTGAATCGTCCCCCACAAATTTGATCCCTTTTGGGGTGGTTTAGACCAGTATGCTGTGCTAAACACATCCGATCCGCTTTGAGGTGGTTTAGACCTGTATGCTTTGCCAAATCCTCAGCGCATTGAAAATCAAAGGATTGTAAAATGATATGATAAACCAGGTTTACAGTCAAAGGATTGTGAAATGAGACACTCGGGTCCTATTTCAAACGTGGCTAGATTGCTCTTAGGTGGAATGTGACGATCACTGTCGTCGGGTGCTTTCTGCCAGAATGGCAGAAGGTGCCCTCCCAGCCTGTCCCATCATTGAGGATGTCGTCGGGTTTCAGCCTGAAGGGCAGGTCTTGACTGCAAAGGCTGTGACAGCTGGATTTCCATGCCAGGTGAGGGTCTTAATTCCGATTTTTTGGAATTTGGGATCAGTCAAGGAATAGTTTCTTTCTGTCGGGCCATCACAACTGTACTTCACTATGGTGAGTCACTCAGGATATCAGCCAAGCTGGCAATCAAGCAGGTTTGCACGGACATCGATCATCCCTCATAAAAGAAGCCTTCAAGACATACGACTGCCTGCCAAATGCGTGTTTGTCTCAGGATGTTTTTGATTTTAGCCGCATGGAGGAATCTAAATCATTACATTAGCTGTGCCCACTTGATCTTACCAAACCCACACCGTCGCTGTTTTGGCATCCATGCTCGCCAATAGTGATGGGGCTCCATAGATCAGTGTGTTTATGAATTTACTTCAGTGTGAACGAGATTTAAGCTTACTTCCTGTTGCTCACCTCCTAGGTACATGATGCTGCTCGAGAATGTCTCAGCATTGCTGGGGATGAATAAGGAATGCCGCAAAGTGCTGAACTACATTTTGCAGGTAAGGAAACTTGAACATATGCTTATTGTCATTGTGTACCTTGATTATTGAATTCAACATGCCAGCCAGGCAGCCAAAAAAAGGGACTTGGCCGTCTTTTGGACTACAAATCAGCTTACCAATGTTGGACTTCCAGTGAGAAACCCAGGGCTAAACCGCCATATTTTTTTAACAGATTAAACGCAGTGGCACAAACATCGTTGGCCAAGGCTTCCCGACGTCGTGTGTTCCTGCTCCTTTGCAAGAATGACTTCACCTTGCAGCAGGTGCATGGCTAGGCTTAGCGAACTGGGAGTGATCAAGTGAGAGCACTGGAAACAAGGAGATAATAGCAAAACCAGTCACAATTTTTTGTTGGCCTTTGTTTCCAGACCATCAGTACCAGCTCCAGCCATGAAAGTTTATTTGAAAACTGACCTCTGAGTTTCCTATCGGCTTTGCCCCATCGGTTTTTGTCTTTCTGCAGACTTAAGGAATCACAAATTATTTCCAGTACCGTGAAGACGTGAAAGCATTCAGCCCTTCGGCCTTTTTGCCCCTGTCATTGCCAGGCTCCACCGATCGACCATTTCGCCAACCTGCCATGGAATGCGGGCAACACCACCCCCATGCACAAATGGCTGGTGCGTGACAATGAGAAACGGGACGACCACAAATCCCGAATGAATAGTTTGGGCAATGTAGTTGTGCCACAACAGGCATTTCTGGCCTTGTCTGTTTTGGCGCGAATGACCCAAGGTGAGTTTTTTGTGTAAACTCATCGGAATTTCTTTTGAAAATTCAGAAAACCGGCAGCACAAGCAGTGTCGCATGATGTTGATCAATTTCGTCAAGTCTTCAACTTCAAGCCAAAGATTGTTTTGCTGTGACCATGCAGCTGGTTACCGGTTCTAATTCAAAAATTACGCTTTGCTTCAGATCTCCGTGACAAGAAAGCCGTGACAAGAAAGCAATTGAGTCATAACAAGAAGGCGGCTTCAGCCTCTTTGCTCCGTCAATCACTATTTCTTAATGGAAGATTTTGTGACCTGAGGCTGAAACGACTTGAGGATTGAATCTATGAATCTATCGTGCGTGTGTGTGTGTGTGCGGCTTCTCAGGGCTGCCATTGGTGTGTGCTTGGAAAGCTTGAAATCGGTTTTGTGCTTTGCTGACTTCAAGCTTGTATTGCAATTTCTCTAAGTACCGTGGAGGATCCAAGCTGCCACCACAAAAAATTGACATCAATTAGAAATCCGTTTTTTTTCCTTTTTGATGAGCGCGCGCAGCGTTTTTGCAATTTTGTCAACACGGTCCACGACTTGAATTTGCACCTTAAAACCCAAAAATCAAAAAAAATTGGGTGCGGCATGGACATTAAGGGGTCAAAACCGGGGAGCGAATCACAAAATATGAAAAAAAATATGAGGGGTGAATTTGTGATGGATCCAGCCCCGGATCCATCACAAACTGAGGGGTTTGCTGTCGGGTCTAGTCAGTGACTTTTAAGGATGTTGTGGTTAATGACTCACCAAATGCACGTTTTGAGATGGATCCAGCCCCATATCCATCACAAATAGCGGGTGTTCATGCTAAGGTCATTTTGAGACGATATGCTGCTCATTCATGTTTCACCTTGAGGCAGGATGCTGGGTTGAGTTTCTTACTTCTGAAACCTTAAACCCCATTTTGGATTTTGTGACGGATCTGGGGCCGGATCCGTCACAAATTGCTTGAAACCTTAAAACTCACTTTGGATTTTGTGACGGATCTGGGGCCGGATCCGTCACAAATTGCTTGAAACTTTAAAACTCACTAGAATTTGTGACGGATCTGGGGCCGGATCCGTCAGAAATTGGTACTTCTACGGATTTTGTGACGGATCCAGACCAGATCCGTCACAAATTGATACTTTGGACCATTTTGTGACGGATCTAGGCCGGATCCGTCACAAATTGATACGTTGGACGATTTTGTGACGGATCTAGGCCGGATCCGTCACAAATTGATACGTTGGACGATTTTGTGACGGATCTAGGCCGGATCCGTCACAAATTGATACGTTGGACGATTTTGTGACGGATCTAGGCCAGATCCGTCACAAATTGATAGTTTGGACCATTTTGTGACGGATCTAGGCCAGATCCGTCACAAATTGATAGTTTGGACCATTTTGTGACGGATCCGGCCCGTCACAAAATGGTACTCTTGGGGATTTTGTGACGGATCCAGACTGGATCCGTCGCAAATTGATACATCTAGGGATTTTGTGGCAAAAAATGTTTTAGGCTAGATGCAATACAAAATGAGATGATGGGGCATTGAGATAGATCTAGACTGTGTCTGCGACAAATTTATCTTCTGGAGTCTGGAGCATTTTGAAACTGATGTAGATTACGGGGAGGGAAATTTTAAAGGGAATGCAGCTTTAGGGTGTTTTTTTATTGTATTTGTTTGTGACTGCTGCGTCACACGTTGGCTTTTTCGAGGTGTGTATTTTGCAGGGACGCAGGTGTTATTTACAATGTCTTGTTCGGGTGTTGCTTTGACCTGCAAACCCTCAAGTGGCATTGGTTTCTTCGGCTGTTGTGCTCGCACACAGGGTTGTCAGGTTGAGGTTCGCAGTTCTTTTGGCGCAATTTCAAAAAAGAACGGTGGAGCCCGAACCAAGACTACAAGCAAAGCTCTGTCAGGCCTAGTTCAATCCCAAACTAGTGTAACTAGTGTTTCAATCGATTTCTGACCTTTCTTGCACGACGCCATGGGAAAACCCGCTTTGCTGATCCATCACAGGTGGTGTGTGAAGATTTTTCAACAGGGGAAGGTCTGGGAGATCCGAAACAAAGCATGCAACAAGCGTGGCAGAATAGTTTTAGCTTCGACAGCAAAGACATCTCCAACAGGCTCTACTATGGCACTGGGTGAGGCAACTTTGACCGATTGTATAGTGGTGGCTCGTCAGTCTAACGGATTGCTTTTGCCACCAGAGGAGGCGCCAAACAATTTCCTCTTTTTGAAGGAGAACCTGGCCAAGCATCAGATCGGAAGCCTCACTGATTTTCCAGGTTTGAAATCTTACCAATCGGTATACGCTTGGGTGTTTTCTGAGCCACGGGAATATTCAAAACCGCGCTCAATCAAAGTAAAGAAGGGATGTGTTACATGGGCAAACATTTGACCCGCAGAGACTTTGCGCAAAGCTGAAAATTCATTTTTGAAAAGCTGCCAAATTTCCACATGACTGTGCTGACGGGTTTGTTGCATTCCATTAAACCGGCCGCTGTGTTCCGCTGTGGGCAGGTCGGCAGGCTGTGGTGCCAAACCCAAAGGGCGCGGTTCCTCATAAGTTGAACGGGTGAAACCATCCCGAGCGCACATGAAGTAAAAGCAAAGTTATTCTTGCAGATCCAGGGATTGCGCAAAGCTTTGACAATTTGGGTTGTCGAAGTTTTCAATCTAATTTCCCGATGCTGTGGTGCTTGGGTCAAGGTCTCAGGTTTGTTTGCAACATAGGCTGTCGCTTGCAATGGCCATGAAGCGCAAGTCGGGGCAGGGCGGTAAGGCCGCAAAGGCCGCAAAGACCACGAAAGCTGCACCCAATGGTGCCGAGTTTGAGCACGTCAAGAAAGTCACAGCTTGGTTTTTCAGTTGAATTATACAATTAATCACGTTTTGCTTTTTTTGTCGGGAAAAAAGTTGAGGCCTGGCCTCCTTCACTCGTCTAAGGCTGGAGGATGTTGTGGCGCCTGTAGGGGGCCCTGACAAGTATTTGGAGAGGAAGTACGGCACACAGGAGCTTCATCAGCTTGTAAGTTTTGATTGTTGTGTTGAGGCTGACACTGTCCAGAGCATATGAAAGCTTTGACACCATTGAATCAAACAAGACCATCTCATGCAGCGACGCAGGATCAGAAGATGAAGTTTGCATCCTGGATTCATTCCACTTTTCCACCTGATGATAGGCGGGGCTATTACACAGCTCACAGTTCATGATTCCAGGATTTTGTCACAAACTGGACACCTCACGCGGGTTGAGGCGTGTGAGGAAACAAAACGCAAAGAAATTTTGGAGTTTTAGGGTAACGGGTGGTTGAAAAATCCTTTTTGACACACAAAGTGGCAGTCAATCTGAATTGATTTTAATGTTCGCATCTTCTGCTGGGAGGCTGCTGTATTCAAAGGAGTTGACGGCGGGTCCGCAGCTGCTGAGACCTTTCCACCTTTCATGGAGGGCCGACTTTGGTTTGAGCGCCATCATTGAACCTGACAATTTGGTGGAGATAGTCGAGTTGATCCTCCTGAACGGGTTGCTTAGTAGTTAAAAGTTGAAAGTTTTTTCTTTTAAGGAGGTGGCGTGGATAGCATGCCAAGCTCACCATAAATATGCAATTTGACATGGGATTCCCACAAGCACATCATCCGGCCCTTGTATCTCCAAAGAAAAAATGGTTGAACCAAAACATCTTGGAGTTTTAATCTGTTTGAGAGGAAATGCCTTTTCTGGGTTTTGTTTTATGGCCTGAGGTTTCGGACGGATGGAGGCACGTTGCAAGGAGTGGAGAAGTTGTCCGTGACCAAGCCAGATTCTGCCTTTTTGGAGTCGAAGTACAAGCCATTGCCACCGCTGCCAGAAGCAAGTGCGGAGCTCAAATCAGTTTCCAAACCACAAGTGTGCTAGTTACTAGTTTCGGATCCAGCTCCGAAAATTGTGAAAACGCTTATTTTTCATTCTGATGTTCAAAAAATATCTAAAACCACAAGCCACAAAGCGGCCAGTTTTGAATTCAAGTCCCAAATTTCGAGAATTCTTTTCGAATAATTAATCCTGACTCCGACCCTGCGTTGAACTCAGTTCCGCTGAACTTGATTCTGAGGTGACACACTGCCGCCATTCAGTGTCGCCTATGTCAAAGGCTGGCGCAGAAGCGTGAGCTGCTTGATTATATGCGAAGCTATCAAAGAGTTGGGGATAGACATGGCAGACCTCAGCACCGACTACAAGGCCATGGGTGTGAATTCACTGGCAAGCCCTTGTTGTGTGTGTGTGTTTTGAAACTTGTAACACATTCATTTATTTTTCTTGCTGCTTGACATTGTTCTTGCTGCCTGGCAGGCATCAATGAAATCAGTGTATGCCATTGTTGCCCCGTACGACCATGTCCAGCAACAGGTGTTGGCTACCCGAGGCACGAGTCAGCTTCTTGATGTCTCAATGTCATTGATGTTTCAAATCATGAATTAGGGACAGGAGTAGACATGATCATGTTACAAGACTTGTGTGGCAGCCGGGTGAACAATTTTTTGTTTTTGAAGGGCTCTCTCAGTTTCCAATCGTGCAGGAATCTCATGCGCTGCTGGGGTGAGACGGCCGCCGAACTGCTTCAACATGATTCGGCAGATCGAGGTTTTGGACAGGGCAGGTGTGACCGAGGAAGCCGACAAGGTGCCAGATGCCAGGTCTTTGTTTTGCCAGCCAGTCCTGTACTGTACTTTTATGAGATTTGTTTCTCAATTTCCCAATCACTGGACAGCCCAACTTAATCAGCAGCCCCTGCTTGTTTGAAATTACGCCACCTGCCAATTTGAATGGTCAGCATTTCAAGTCTGGGCTGAGGTGTTGGCTAGCGCTGCAAATGTTGCACGGGTCTACAAAGTTGGACCACGGGAGGCCAATGCAATTGTGCAGTTGAGCCAAAAGGTGACTGAACCCATTCAGGCGCTCTTGAAGGATGCTGTCCGCAAACGAGGGATGAGATCGTTTCTGACTCACGAAGCTATTGGCAAAGAGATCTTTAGCTTGGCCTGGTCCTCGGGTTCTGGCCAATATGACGCTTGGAACGATGCTCTCACCAACAAAGACGACAATGAATTGGTGTCCAATCTTAATTATGTTACAGCCCACAGCATGGCAATCTTTGTCAGTTTAAAAGCTTCGAACACATGTCTTTTTGAGTTTGCCCTCGTGTGAGGTATCCCTTCTGATTCGCCGGATGTGCAGTGACTGGGACAAGCAGGGGACATCTCGGAAAGCATGGTCTTCCAAGGAGTTGGTTCCTCTACATGTGTCATGTGGAGGTTTCTTGGCTTTCATGCGGTCCTTGAAGGACAAGATTGCTCCGGGTGAGTATTCCAAACATGAGCAATCATTGAAAGACCAGTTCATGGTTGGTGCTTTGGATCCGGAGATCGTCCATGTGCTCCAAACGACAGTCCCACCAGCAAGCCTGGAGGCAGTTAGCTTCCTAAGGCTGGATGTTGATTACCCCTTCTATGTTCCCAGTGTCTTCAGGTTGTTCGCTTTGATGTTGAAGGAACCATTCAATAAACATGAACCCCCATTAAATCTTTGAATTTTTCTTATTGACTACACGGCAGGGCCATCTCCGAAGACATCGCGCAGAAACACAGAGCCGAACTTGAGGAGAAGGACAGAGAGCTAGCGTTGAAGGTGGCTGACGCAACCCTGAACCAGGTGAAGGCGAAACTGCTTGCAGACATCGAGATCTTGAAAGCAGTGGTCCCTACAGCTGAGACTGAAGCAAAGGAGGCAGGTTTGGATCTGAAGTACCTCAAGGAAAGGCAGATGTGGCTTGGCATGTTTAGCTTGTTCTGTTTGGGGACAGGCTCAAGCTTTCTACGATGATCTTTTGTCCTGTTCTCGGCAAGTTTAGCCAAGGAAAGGGCAAGCTCACACAAAGGCATGGATGGAGGAACACTGCAAATTTGTTGTTGCCAATGATGGGGACAACATGGTCTCAAGTGTGAAGGACATTGCCCAGCACATCTCGAAGTTACAAGAAGGCCCTGAAGGTTCACCCTGCCAGGTGAACCTTGGCCAGTGCTAAGTTGTCATCTTTTTGGTAAACGGTTTTACATTTGGTGTCAGCTGAGGGTCCCTAGATTTTCATTATTATTATCCCTGTGTACTGCTCCGAATTGTCTCCTGATGTGTTCAAGAACCTTCTGGCTGTGTTCAGTGCTCCCCATCCGCTACCAAATATCCAAGTCCGTTGTAGTATGGAAAATTTACAAGGCACCTTTTTATGGATCATCGAAGAAAAAAACGTTCACAGTGTGAAAGGGAACCCAGGAAAACAAAATACATCCTTACAAGTATACATGGGTGCTCCGCATTGAATGTGGTCTATAGAGTACAGGTCATTAGACACAATGACACAAGGCTAGAGCCTTGATTGCTTGTTTGAGATCCGTGTTTGAATTCAGGTACACGCTTGTGTTGGTTGATGTGACGGTTTTCCCAGCGAACGCAAAGTTGGTGAATGGCGCTTTGGACTCTTTGGGCCTGCTTCTGAACATGAGTGCCCAAAACGTGGGCCATATTCAGCTCCCAGTCTGCCACACCAACACCAGTGCCCCGATTGTGTACAAACACAGGAGGCTTGTTGAGGACAACTTGATGAACACTCAAAAGATCGACATCTCACAGACAGTTGCTCTCCACTTCAGCAAGCCAGATGAGCCGCATGGGGCTGACAAGCGTGGGGGTGTTCAAACATGCTTGTTTGCTGCCTCTGACATCAACACAACAGCTTGGACCTCTCCACAAGTTGTGGGACCGACCCAGCTTATCAGAGTGCGAGATATGATCGGGTTCGATGCTGACACAAGGCCGGGTGCTACAGCACGAGCAGAACAGTTTCTCGGTAGCTGAAGTGACGGCAAATAGATTTTAAGACAGTTTGCTTTGAAAGGCAACATAACTAGGGTTTGAATTTTCTTAGGTTCGAATTCGGTTTCCATATTCTATATATTTAATATATTTGTGTCTTCAGTGTTGCCCAAGGACCTCTTTAAGTCTTTACAGGCCATGACTGTTCAGAGTTTGATGTCAAATCGAGGAAAGGTGTGGCAGTTCACGATGCCATCATTGAGGGGTACTTCAGGAGCCTGACATTGCGCGAGCATGACAAAGTCTTGATCGTGGACTTGCTACCAAACAGGCTCTTCGATCCTTTGAGCATCATTTTTTCGAGAGTTGTTCCCTTCATTTACTAAAAGTTTGTGGGGAAGTCTCTGTTTAAAGCTTTGTTTCTTTTCGCTGTGCCGAAGGCATGCTGAATTTGCCCGCTCCGTTGTTGCCAAGAAGCTGGGGGCAACGTCAGCGAACTGGCCAGTCTTTTACTTCGGTTTGCTCAGGGACAGCCAGAAGGATGTGATTGACTTTGTGGAAGAAACGGTTTACACGCACTGGGATGGTCAGCCCAATGCTCCACCAAAGACTCGGGTCCGGGAGGTTGCCCAGGCTCCGGATTTGAAGTTGATTCTGTGGCAGAACCACCGCCCGGTTTTTCCGATTTCCTTGTTGTCCAAGTTTTCTTCCGATTCAGATCACCATGCTGAGATCAAGAAGCTGAAGAATCTGGTGGAGGGGATGTGGCCTGCTTCATCTTTGCCTGGAGATTCATCAACAGCAGGGGCACCTCTGAGGGCAGTCGAATCGCCTGACCTTTCAGGAGTTGAAGTTCTGGATGTTTCCCGGGAAGTGTCTTTGAGCATGATCCCCATGAGTGACTTTTCGGAGGAGAGGTTTCTTCCATCTAAATTCTGCAACGTTTTCCGGATGGTTTTTAAATGATTCAAAATGCAAAAATAGCAATGAGAAAAGAAGCTGCACAAAGCCGGTTTTATAGGGTTTGGGGGTCTCAGCGTTGTTGTTGGTGTGTGTCTGTGAGGTTGGCGGTATGTCCGGGAAAGGGCGGCAAACCGAGTGTGCTGATCACAAAGACTTTCGAAATCTACTTGGGGAACCCCACTGATGATGAGATGCTTGTTCAAAGCTGCGACATTATCGGGTTCTACACTGGGACGTTTGAGATCAAAATCATCAAGAGTACCTTGGAAACGGAGAGAAATGAAGTGTCTGTTAGCAGTCTCAAGAATTTGCACATATTTTTTAAAATCGGTGAGTTTCTTCAAGAGGCTACTTAGCAAGATTGAACCCATTAGTCTAATTATTCCAAGAGGTGACTTAACTTCTGTAAGGATGTCACCATGAAACCCGTGAGGATTTATCGAAATGTTTGAAATAAATAGAAACACCCGCCTCCTGGCACTCAGGCGCAGGACCTTTGGAGAAACACACCATTCCATGGCGTCTCGACAATGACATGACGCTGGTGGCGTATGAGAAAAAGGTCATGCCATTGTGTGTCTTCATGTGCAACCAAGCTCGCGAGCGTGGAATTGGAGACTCTACGGTGGGAGACCACGAGATCAGTCCCATGACCCGCGCTGCATCTTGGTCACAAGATTTCTTCATACCCACTTGATACAAGATTTCTTCATACTCACTTGATACAAGATTTCTTCATACACTTGATACAAGATTTCTTAATACACTTGATACAAGATTTCTTCATACTCACTTGATACAAGATTTCTTCATACACTTGATGCAAGATTTCTTAATACACTTGATACAAGATTTCTTCATACTCACTTGATACAAGATTTCTTCATACACTTGATACAAGATTTCTTAATAGACTTGATACAAGATTTCTTCATACACTTGATACAAGATTTCTTCATACTCACTTGATACAAGATTTCTTCATACTCACTTGATACAAGATTTCTTCATACACTTGATACAAGATTTTCTTAATACACTTGACAAGATTTCTTCATAATACTCACTTGATACACAAGATTTCTTCATACCCACTTGATACAAGATGTCTTCAAACTCACTTGATACAAGATTTCTTCATACACTTGATACTAGATTTCTTAATACGATTTCTTCATACAGTTGATACAAGATTTCTTCATACACTTGATACAAGATCTCTTCAAATATACATGATGATGCCCCGTTTCAGTCTGGATGTGTGGAAAGATCAAGCTTTGGGTATCTAGAAGGTTCCTCACCCTACTTGACTCTGAGGCAGGAGAGGGTGATTCTGATGGCCAAGCCGTCCTCCCGTATCGCTACGAGGTGAAGCCGCTCGAGTCTTTCAAAACCAATTGCTACAAGTCCAATCCCCTGGGTGCGAACACAGATAGCGAGTCTCACAAGCCTTGGACTATTGGGGCAACTATGTTGGGCAACTTCGACAAGCTCCCTCGTCAGGAGAACAACAAAACCGCATCCTTGGTGTGGGAGGCCAGGGGTATCTCAGTTGTTGAACAGGGCGCCAAAAAGCAATCCACCTAAAATTTAGGACGTGACATCGTGGCATAATCAATCCCCATTCCCTGAAAGGTGTCTTTGCAGACAGGAGCCTCCACACCACGGCTCTTAGCCGTAAAACCGAAGGTGTACCTCACGTGCAGCTGCCGGCTGCCTGCGAAGACTTGGGCGCGCATCACTAAGGACGCCTAAGAAATTTTGCAAGCCAGATCTGAAATTTCAATCTAAGGCATTAGCTACAGCAGACCAGCGTGTAGCTGCTATCCACACCAGCTACAAAAAATGGGGAATGCAACTTAGTAACCTATTAGCTAGTTGAAAGTTTAAATCCCCTGAAAGCAGATTGAAGTAAAGTGGTTGTTGAACCTGAAGGTGGTTGTTGTGCCCTGGCGGTAGCGCTGTCTCTTTTGACGATGGCCTCTTGAATCATCTTGAGGGCCGGCTGGCAGTTCATATATTATACAACCATACGGAATATGGTTTTTCTCCAACAAACAAGCTGTTACAAGTCTGAAAAAAGGCGAAGCTGCCTACTTCCTAATTGAATGACATTCAAGTCACCTCCATTTTCTAAGAAGATACTGTAGTGAAACCCTTCCAAGGATTTTTTGGTCAGTTCTGAATGCGCCGGCCACATGATCGTCGTTTTTCAGCCCCGACCTGCCTAGCATAGCTGGATCTCTCGACCATATCCTGTTGCCATGGCAGCTTTGCTCGCCCCCATTACAACAGGTAGTGGTTCTGAACTTGAGGAGCTTTAGATTAACATTCAGAAAGATTTGAACCTATTTGGGGATTTCTTACAAGTGGGTTCCGCAAAATGCATTGTTTATAGTGGAATGGCATTTTTAAAATAGATGATTTGGGTACACCTATTTAAGAATTTCCGTATTTGTTACCCTTATGTTTGGATTTGACGATTTTATGTTTAAGACTCTTCTATATCTATCCCGGGTTCTGAGGATTCAATACCGAAGAAACGCCCTGCTTCAAAGTTGAGCGTGCCTGCAACTCCCAAGACTGGCAAGGTCCCGAGGACTGACAACTCAGAAGCCGCTGAAACACCAGACGCTAATAGCAGTCCCGTTGCTACTACCCCAAAAACACCAAAGAAAGCAAAGGCAAAGGCGAAAGCCAAGGCAAAGTCGACAGGAGAAAGCAAGGCAAAGAGTGGGATCAAGCGGCCTGCAGCAAAGGAAAGTAAACCAAAGGCCGAGAAAGACGTTGAGGAATCACAGGTTGAGGAAGAGAATGTTGAGGAATCAGGGGGTGAGCAGCAGGAGGAGGAAGGGCCAGAGGTTGCAGATCAGGAACCAAGCGCAAGTGCTGGGGAGGCGGCTACTCCTAAGGAGAAGAAAGTCAAGGCCAAGGCGAAAGCGAAGCCGGCAAGCAAGGCGAAGCCGAAGTCGAACCCGAAAAGCAAAGCGAAGGCAAAGTCGAATCCCAAGAAGGAGCTGGACAGAGAGCGTTGTGTAGGCCTGGTTGAAACTGCCCACAAGTTCACCGCGTCTTTAACTGAGTCTTGAATGTGCAGCAGCTGTCAATCTTTTCGCTTAATGCTGAATCATACACGTCACATGACAGGTCCGGAGGACAACCTTTATGGCCCATACCCGTATCGCAAGACAAACATCTGGGCCATCAAGCTGAACAAAAAGGAAATCATCCAGGCCCCCAGTCAGATGCAACAATATTATACTATGATGGTTCAGATTGAATTACATAGTGCCAGGTTGGTGGCAAGTATGTGCCATTTGAGAAGTCCAAGGAAGCCATCGTCCAGCTCTTAGTTCATTTGTGCTGGCTGCCGGCCTTCTCCATGTTTGCCCTCAGGATATCGTTTTCAATCACCTGAAGGAAGGCAAGACCCTCGGCTTCTGCAAGGACGTTGCAGCTCCGGGCTCAACAATGGTAGCCGAGCTTACTAGGCCACTTTCTAGCAGTGTGATTTTTTGTAAGGCCAGTTTGAAGGAGCAACTCGCAATCCAGGCCCAAGAAGGCGCTGGTTGAAGAGTCGGACAAACACATTTAAGTTTTATCTTCTGCATCAGATCAATGGGAATTTCAGGAACCTAAATTGGAGGAATCATCATATATAAGATCTATATAAGACCTATGTAAGAGAATATCACCACAAAATATAGCCTTATATGGTAGTACAATACCTCCATGTTAAGATCCTGAAATGCCCATTGATCAGATCAAAATACAATCCTTTTCCTTCCTAGTATGTGGTTCATACACTTTCTCAGCGGCCTGCCAGGAAAGTTCAGTGACGCGGGCAAAGCTGATGCCGATGCCTCTCCAGAGGATGCGGAAGCTGCGGAAGGGGCGGAAGAAGAGGTGAAGGAGGAAGACCCTCCCCTCGAAGAGATCCAGGGGCAAGATGCCCAAGATGTGGACTGAGTTCTCACAAGTTGTTTTGGGTAGTTTGGTGGAATGAGGGAACCAAAGGCTCATTGGCTCGGCATCGTGCAAAAAATGTCATCCGTCCCGGATCAGAATTTTCAAAATGCATGACTCGGCATGTTCATTGTGGCAGCGATTTCAGACCTTTGGATTACTCTATAATAACAGCAGGTAACAGAAAACAGTTTTTTCCCTTGTCCTGACTTTGTTCCCTTTGCCTAAATGACTTGATTTCAACAGTTGTCCACTCCAAAGATACGACACCATGAGGCCCAGCAGATCCCAGCAGCCTTTCTTGGCCCTTTGGTGATCCATGACAAAGATGCCGGTCATGAAGCGACCTGCGGCGTGCACACATGAAGATGGGCCACCGCCCAAGAAATCGACAGGCCCTATAGGGCATTCCCCCAAAACCATGGCTGTTCGTCTTGCAGCTCAATTTCAAACAATTTTCAATTTCACACCCTCGCATTTTTTGCCAGGTGGTTCTGGTGCTAAAGATCCCGATTCTGACACTATTGTGGTGTCTGAGCCTACATTCATGCCCCAGACTTCCAGCTGGGTGATTCGACTCAACGGCAAGGATGTTGTGCAGGCTTGGGTAGTGACAGTAAGTAACACATTCTCGAACTATTCGCAACAGAGTGCCTATGTGCTCAACAACTGCCTTGGAGGTTGGTGTGTTCTGCTTATGATCAATCAAAGATGCGTGAAATAGCTGCTTGTGTCCCAGTGGATCAGTATGTGGAAATCTGTTTACTTAACTTGGACTGCCCACTACAGAGCAAACCCAGCCCCTGAGGCCATTGCCCACCAAACTTTGCTCAGAGGTGAAACGGTGGAGAACTGCCGAATGGTTGTCGTGGCTTACTTAGGATTTATAATCACACCACGGTCAGCTCAGTAGCATTGTGAAAACTGTGCCACATAGCGCTAGGTGTTTTCCATTTTCAAGGCTGAGCTGCAATCTGCAGCTTACAACATGAAGCCAGAGTCGAGCTACAGCTACTTGGTTTGACCTTAGCGATTTTCAATTTCCACAGGCTTGGAGTGCTGTGTTTGATACTTGCAGGTGGAGTTGTTCCTCTCCCTGACATGGCTGCGGTATTCGGATCTGATTCGGATTCGGACTCTCAGAAAACCCTCCAGCTTGGCGAAACTGACTGAAGTCAAAATGACCACACAAAACAATGAACTTCGAAGACTAAATTTGTTCCAAGTCAAATATACCAACTCATCATGCTTTCAGACCCAGCGCAATATGGCAAGCGTGATACTTTGTTGACGGTTATTGTTGGAGCATAGTACTGGTTAGAGATTTCATGGCCAACCACAAGGGTGCAACTCAAGGGGTAGGTCCTGTGACATCAAAAAACATCAACTATTACATGGATTCCGCTGAATCATAAATAGTTGCAGCTTCAGGGATATGGGCGTGTTTTACAAGCAGGCTAAATGTGAAATTGAATATGGGTTTCACTGAACCACAAAGTTTTCATTCCCTGAAAAAGTCAAGGATAGTCATCAATTCGTTTTTTTGAGATTTCCACATCTGCCATGTAAGCCTTCTTGACACTGATGTTTCTTTTTTCTGAAGTCCACCCAAAAAAGGGATTTATGTAGTATGTGTATGTATAAATACGTGTATAGATGATTGCATAAATGTTGAAAACACCTCTGCATTACACAGTGCGTATTTGAAAATGTATCAGTGTGATAGATATGATACATACAATTGGAAATATGATAACTATTTTAGTATAGTTACAATGTATGCTAGGCAATGATGATATATACAGTTGGCAATATATATATATATATCATATTGGCATATACAGTTTGGAATATATGTATATATATGTATAAATAATCTAATACATATGAGCTGTGCAATAACAATTTTAAATACGTACCGGATGTGTAGAAATATAAATATATATGTATTTATTTACCACAGATAAACGCATATTTTTTTAAATCTACAAGGTAAGATATATTTGAGACAAAATGGTCTATACATATTAAATAATATCTGCGTTTTATGATTTCAATATTCAGTACAATATTTAATACGCTTAAACAACATTTAAGATCATAATATGTAAATACGTGTGTGCTTTTCATCTATTATATATTATGTACAAATCTAATATACATATGTTCCACAATAAAAAAAATCCAATTTAAAAAGATGTAATGTGGTTAGCACTACCATTTGTAACATATATATAAATATAAATAACGGACACACAACATAGCAATATAATGCCAACTAGAAATTCAATATAACATATGAATTATGCTTTGTGTTTGATACATATAGAGTATGCTATATTCAATTTAGTATGTTATAAGTTATATCTTTAAAGACGGTCTATTGTTTTGGGATTCTGGTCGCTGATGTCATTACCTTAACTTATCAACATCACAAATGAGAGATTAATTGTACTAGTGGGAGATTCATGGTATGTCACAACAAAAACGTCGATATTACAGCTGGTATAAAAAAGTATGTTTGGGGATTCGTCATACCTAGTCTAATTGCTGAGGGCGCAGGTCCAAGCATCTGAAAGCTTACTGTGCTGACTGGCAAGTTCTGGGAGCAGTGTGCTGTGTGTCGCTTCATGGTAGGGCTCCGGAATTGTTACTGCTGCGAGTTTTACCAAAAGCCAATCAAAAAGCGTTGGCATGGCATGATAAAAAGGAAAACACTCAGTGTTTTGGGCCAAGTGCGATAGATGCAGCCGCCAAGAACTTACAGCAAAAAAGACAA